TGCTTCAAAGAATTTAATTTCTTTTGATAAACTTTACCCTTAATGCTATTCAACATATTAATGGAAAGTATCAACAAACTGTGTTACAAACATGACATCATATTTATTATGAGATTATTTTAAAAGTAACATAACATATATTCAACAAACTTTATTACAAATATTATAATACATATAAGTATTAATGTGAATTGAACATGTACTCTGTTGAGCTAAAAAAATTTGAAACAAATTTTGGGAAGATTATTTACAATGATACGTACAAATTATAGCACCAATATATCACCCTCCTATACGGAAAACGTGAACAATAGCAAAATAATTGAAATCTATACCTGAAATAGCAATACATTTAGTTGTACTGGCATTAGTAATACGAATTCACCGAAATACTAGTGAATATACACAAATAATATTTACAGATACAACATTTAAAGATAAAAAGGTGATTATTTCACATAGAAACTAACAATTGAGGGCGCTATTTATTTGGCCACACAATAAGCAAATTCGTAGTTTAAAGTCAACCAAAAAAAGCATATACACAACATAGGTTTAAGTCGATTGACCTGGGATACCTTGCTTATGGACGGCGAGTACTATGTGAGTTTTGCAAACCGAGGAGCGAAATACCGCACCTCTTTCTATCTATGGCTCTGTCTGGCCAGCAATATAGTACTGTATCTATACAGGTACTCCAGCTAGTATTTAATACCGTATCTCTTGTTCAGCAAACAAAATATGGTAAAACCTACTTAAAGACTTTGCTACTTTCTATACTCCATCCCCAGAGGAGCTTTCCTGTAGAGACACAATCTAAACAATTATATTATACTTTACTAAACATATTGCAAAAGTTATTGGAAAAATTTTAGAAAAATATTCCTCTACTAAGATTTTTACTGGCTTATCATATATGAATTATAGAATTTTATCGCAATGAATATAATAAATTGAACATATGTATATATACAATATTTTTATAGTAGGCACCGGTAGGCACATACTAATACTAAACATGTCTATATTAAAATAAATGGCAATATACTCTGTGAGGTATTTAAGTGGATGTTTTTCATCATTTGTATGCCGTTTCAATACAATCTCCCTAACTGCATGCTACATCTTGCAATGGAACATACAGCCTCATTCCAATTACGGACACCAGCTGATAGAATAGTACTTTACGAGGGACTTACATACGATAATTGGGAATACCAATTTAAATTACAATTACATTATATTACTTATTCTACAATACGCCACTGCTTTCAATAAGAGATAACTCATCATTACAGTACAGGTACCTAGGTGTTTTAGTTTCAAGAAAGCAACATTTTGTTAGACATCACAATGACACTTATTAATGTTTCTTTACTTGTAAATACAATGACCAAAAATACACTGTCTACCCAGGGAACAGTGAAAAATTGTAATTTCACTGTTCCCTGGTCTACCAAACAAAAACAAAAAATCGGGATAACCTCAAAATTTGAATTTCGAAATAGCTCATTTAACAGCATTCATAGTACATGTTTACTAATTAAACCAAATATCGGAAGAATCGTAAATCATAGCATCCAACGGTATATCTTAATCATTAAAATTCACTTGCTATACTTTAACTATGTAAACATGGAATGTTCAATAATAAGTACAGGACAACACCTCATCATCCATGCATCTTCCAATAAGCATCCTTTAACTGTTACAATAATGCACTGCATTAGTGTTGGTAATAATAATATAAAGACTATAATCATGCCTTTTATCTGGAGAAGCTTGTGTACTTAGATTCATGCTCATTAGGCCAATAAAAACAATTCTTATGCTGGCCACTTTTTGCGAATTTTTTTTTTTTTTTGCCAAAAAATTCCACAAAAATACATCAAAGACCATTTTAAAATCTATATTGAAGAGCAAAACGGTCACATAACACTGTCGTATCGCCGACTGTCGCAAGATAGGCCTATTCCAGTCTTTTAGCTCATTAAAAAAAAATTTTCGACGTAAAAAACAAAAAAAAAACAAAAAAAACTAAAATGCTGATTTTCAATTTCAAACATTTTGGGTCAGTTGGGCGTGGCCAACACAATGATTTTTTTATTTGGACTTAAATAGGAAAGTCATTTACACTTGGCTGATGTTGACATCTTGAGCTGGTTAAAGACCTGTCGAGTCTATCAAATTTTATTTGACAAAAAATAACATGCGATGTGCCTAAACATAGTCATGATGACATCACACCATTACCATATATAGGCAATTCATGACCATATATAGGCACATCGTGACTATACATGGGCATTAAAACAATTTCTTTGTCAAAGAAAATTTGATAGCTTGGACAGTGCTTAATGATACAGAATTCTACAAATGGCTGCAAGGTGCACTAATTTAAAATTATGCATCCTATAACAAATTGAATTTAGGGCATCTGCATAGAATCCCTTCATAATTTATTATTAAAGAAATCGTAAGAATGGAACCACATTTCTGAAATTATTTTATTATTAGCTATAATTACAGTATATAAAATATTTCTCTGGTTTAATAATAAATTTGATATGTTAAATCTTAGTAACTTGAGCTTGATAAAATGCACAATATGTTACAATATAATACACACACGATCCAGTTTTACTACAATCTGTTGCATAACAATTGTAAACATAGATAAGCAAATAAGCAATTTTTGGTGCAATATTTTTATATTTTGTTTCTTGTTTACTCATACTAAAAGTATGGTGAAATTATTCATATTTCAATTTAATGATCTTGTGGTTGAATCAAACATATGCTGTATATTAATACATGTTTATTCATTCTTTTATATCTATACAATAAAACAGCCACAACATGGCATACAACAGAACAGCGTTAATACAGGCTCATACGAATATGCATGTATTCATGAATAATTAATGTTCACACAATATGAAAGATACTGTACTTTATAACTGAAGAATAACATTCACATGAAATTGGGAAAAATACATAGATCAGCTTATGGCACTATAAGTTTAGCCCACTGAGCCATGCTGATTCTAATGTTAACATCTCTGCAACAAAATATTTGCAAGCTTATATGCACAAGTACCAAAAGTGTTTAACCAATCAAAACATTACCCCTAGTAAGTAGGTGACATAACAGTGATTAAATCACTTTAGTTTAAATCACTGTTATGTAACCTACTAGGGGTAATGTTTTGATTGGCTAAACACTTTTGGTACTTGTGCATATAAGCTTCCAAATATGGACAATTTTTTCATTCCTGATGATGACATAATTAACGTCGAAATATTGAATCCCAGCACGATGGCGTGCATTTCAATACTTGGAGTATGTATTATACTTTCTTATGCAGGTTAATTTATCACAATTGCTGAATTACAATATGAATATCAAGATGTGACGCATAACTCGACTGAAAATTGAATACAGTACATTATCAAAGGTCGTATGTAAAAAAATGAATACTTTGTGGACATTTCTATTAAAACCTCATCATCATCATCATCACCTTTTAAAGTCTCTTTCCCCGCATGCAAGGGTAGACTGAAGGCTCTACAGTTAGCTGTAAGCAAAGATCTTATAATAACAAGATAGCTTTCTAAGCAGTTTGTGTGTAACAAATAGAAGTGTCCAATTCATGCAGAAAACAATAAAAAGTAATTGTAATTGAAAGAGGGCATCCTAGTTGTTACTATGACAGTTGTTCAAGAATTTGCACTGAGATCATAGATGTCAAAGTTCAAAAGTAATTGTAATTGCAAGAGGGCATCCTAGACTGCGTTATTACAGAATTTGCATGCATAAATCGTGGAGAACGCTATCTTCTTATTATAAGATCTTTGGCTATAAGGTAGATGTATCCTTTAAGACCAGGTGGTGCGATTAACGGCAGCTTCTGGATTAAGGTTTAACCTTTAATATGTATGGTCAAATTAATCTTTTTGGTTTAAAAAGTCCAAATGTACATAGCTCTGTATTGTGTGACTACCAAGCAGAAAGGTGACATATATTCGAAAATATTAGACCTGATTGACACACTAAAAGAAGTCGGCTTGTTGAAATGTGTGGTAATGGTGAATTTACAAGTTTTAAAGTGTATTAAAAGCACGCATTAAGACTGCAGCCATCACTATAACACCAATAATATCGTTCAATATCGATAACAGAAAAAACTAATCCACAGTTATCTTGGCCATGAACTGAATGATTGAATGGGCTGTGACATAATAACATAATTATTGTAATACTTCTACAACTGCCCTGGCAATAACTGATAAGACTTATAACCTTGAATACAGTCAATTAGAATCGTATTCTATATAATCCACTTCATGTAAGTACTGATTACAAGGAAAATATTGATTTTGGTGTATATTTTTTGTTCAAAAACTATTTAAAAAATAGAGTGATGGAAAGGTGACTCCAAAGGTAATAAAGTTTGATATTGAATCATGGTTGCTTATATCACTTCTTTTTGGAGTTGGTTTCATTCTACCTTAAAGGTAATATGTAGTGAAACTCATTGTTTTTATAATAAATATATTTTTCTATGAATTAATCTTCATTACACAATAAAATATAACTTTTATTGGAAGTATATAATCAATATGATTATCAATGCAGAGATTTTAGATTATTAAGGTTCAAATATAAAATATTTCTTTTGTGTTTAGTTGATGGAATTACATAAGATTCTTTGTGCTATATTATTTTTTTTTTTTTTGTGCCGACTACTACTGTACACTTTTAGGTCACATTTATTCACCCATAAGGCCTAAAAAAAAACTGTTTGTCCACCAGCACCCGCTCCTAGCTCATTGAAAAATAGGGGCGGCATTTTTAAAAAATGTAAGAAAGTGATCTCTTTTTTTTCTCCATTTTACACATGAATGTTGTCTAAATTTGGTGTGATATAAATTAAATACAAAATATTTGATTTGGGTTATTTTTTATTCAGTCTGATGAATACCCTTTGAAAATTCTTTGTGCTATATTATTTTTTTTTTTTTTTTGTGCCGACTACTACTGTACACTTTTAGGTCACATTTATTCACCCATAAGGCCTAAAAAAAAACTGTTTGTCCACCAGCACCCGCTCCTAGCTCATTGAAAAATAGGGGCGGCATTTTTAAAAAATGTAAGAAAGTGATCTCTTTTTTTTCTCCATTTTACACATGAATGTTGTTATAGTTATAGGTATGATCCCCGGGGGTCACAACTCTCCTGCAAATCGTGGGAGTCTCCCGTAAACCGGGAAGGCCTCCCGCACTACCACAAGCAAAAAGAACCTCGAGGCTTTAATATTCACCAATAAAATGAAATCTCAAAAATACTGATCTATGACATTCCCAAAACAAGCCACCGAAATTCAGAACCAACTTTTTACAATTTTGAGTTTGCTTGTTTACCAACTCAATGTCATACACACCGCAATACATACTTCTATGCTGCTTCTATGCAAAGGAGCAAACAATGCTGAATACTATTATAAATTATTCCATGATTATGAGTCAGTGGTGAAATAGACATTTGAAAAAAGATATTGAATTTAATTTCTGATTAACAAAATATGGGTTTTTGTTTTCCAAAAAAAATATCCTTTTTCATTATATAAAACCATCTTTCAACTGTTTATTAAGCACTTTCTTAAAAGAAAATATTGGTATATAATACACACAGCTATATATCTCCAATCAATTCTTGTAACCTCATCAGTACCCGCATGATTGTTGTCAGCTAAGTAAGCGGTAAGATCTGTGTCTGCCAAGCTTAAGTGATGGTGAGGTCTTACCTAGTCAATTTCAGATGTACTCCTATGTTGCCTCATCAACCAGAAGGTTAAACTGTGGTCTTGAGCCATTCCTATTGGTTGGTTCAGGGCTGATTGATGGAGTGCTAGGTGTTCTAACTACAGGAGGCCTTTGATTCTTGTAAAAATTTGTGTGCTCAACAGCTCGACGAATCTTCGAAAAGAAAGCAGACACCAAAATGAAAATAAGCACTTTAGATATACACATTGTTTAAAATTATTAAGATTATACGCTATTGGGCGGTAATTCCACCAAATAAACCAATTTTGGTGAGATTATTTTAAGATAATCAACAAAATAGCTCATGTTTATTGGTCTAAACAGTAGTAACATTGCAAAGTAGTAAATACCTCTTTAAGTGCCACCACACCAACTAAACGTCCAAGCGTCGTCACATATGCATGATTTAAACCAAGCAATGAAAAGAGTGAGTGCACCTACAACAGAAAAATATTTTTAAATAATTCAAAGTGAGCAATTTTTAAATTTAAAAAAATGTTATGAAAAGGCAATAAAGCTAAATTTGTCAATGATAAATCCACCGGAAGGACCCCACTGAAAATAATTCTTCTTCAGACTTTCGTGGGTTAGCCTTAGTGTTTACAACGAATAAATCCACAGGATGTGAATTCATAGTACTTAAAATATAATATAAAAATAACATAGGCCTACAATGTAATACTGCAAATGAACACTTGGGCAAGTAAGTAAGTAAGTAAGTCATCAAGGGTGAGAGGGTTCTCAACCGGTTGGGAGCAAAATAAAACGAACAAAGTAGAAAAACTTAGAAAAATTCCATATGCATTTATTACTACAAGTTTGTTTCGTATGGACAGCTGGTAAAAGCTGCCCACACTCATCAGGTACAAATACATAGTGAGTAGTCAGTACAAGGATTACAT